CGCCCGGGTGCACACCAGTCGTTTCAGCAATCTATAAAGTACAGCGTGCCGACGACAGGAAGTGATCTCAACCTACAGGATACTTTCTAGAACATGCTTTTAAAAACCTTATCACATTTTCTATATTTCAGGGAGCCTGTGTGTTTAGTGTGTTAGTGTGTGTGTGTGTGTGTGTGTGTGTGTGTGTGTGTGTGTGTGTGTGTGTGTGTGTGTGTGTGTGTGTGTGTGTGTGTGTGTGTGTGTGTGTGTGTGTGTGTGTGTGTGTGTGTGTGTGTGTGTGTGTGTGTGTGTGTGTGTGTGTGTGTGTATATATGAGTCACCTGTTACCGGTCTCATCCTCACGCCCACTCTCAGCTTCCTCCTGCAAGCTGTTCTTTAACTCACAGAGGGATACAAAAAAATCAGGTTTTCCTCCTCTTGTCTCCCTTTTACTTCTCTTCACAGACACTTATTTCTGTATGCGTGTGTGTGTGTGTGTGTGTGTGTGTGTGTGTGTGTGTGTGTGTGTGTGTGTGTGTGTGTGTGTGTGTGTGTGTGTGTGTGTTTGCGATATTAAGAAAGAGAGCGAGGACTTATTGATTAGTTAATCGACAGAAATATCGTTGCTAACCATTTTGATAAGTGATTAAGCGATTCTTCACGCAGAAATGCTCTTTTCACACTAAATATGTAGATTTCCTGCCAATTTCTCTGTTTTATCTCAAATGAAAGTGGATTTCGTTGTGTTTCGGACGGACAAAACAAGACATTTAGAGACATAATCTTAGACTTTAAGAAACTGGGACATTTTCTACAATTTTCTAACATTTTAAAGAACAAACAATTCATTTATTTATGTATCTACAGCCTTACTTTTTATCTGTGTGTTTGCTGTTTCACAAATGATTTGCTTATCTTATTACAATATCTGCCAATAAGCACTTCAGCGGAATAGAAAACGATCTCTCGTCGATTTGGCCCTGGGAGAAAACATTTCTTATTCGTTAATCAAACCCTAATGAACCTGTGGAGTGAAATGAGTTTGCAGCTGTGTGTGTGTGTGTGTGTGTGTGTGTGTGTGTGTGTGTGTGTGTGTGTGTGTGTGTGTGTGTGTGTGTGTGTGTGTGTGTGTGTGTGTGTGTGTGTGTGTGTGTGTGTGTGTGTGTGTGTGTGTGTGTGTGTGTGTGTGTGTGTGTGTGTGTGTGTGTGTGTGTGTGTGTGTGTGTGTGTGTGTGTGTGTGTGCGTGCGTGTGCTGCAGGTGAGAGTTGTTCACACTGGTGTTGTGCCCCTCATGAAATATGAATCAGCGGCCACTTCCTCTTGTAGTGTGCATGATCAGCCGCCTGCAGACTCTCTATCCTCAGCCCACCTCACCAAACAGCATCCTCATTTATTATGAATGCCCTCACCCCCAGCCTCCATTACTCCCTCTGTGTGCAGTTAACCAATATGAACTGCAGAACAAATTGGTGCAATTAATTTAGATTAAGGTGGAGAGGGGGAGAACAGAGAGACAGACAAAGGAGACGAGACGCTGTGCATCACTCTGAGAGGAAGATATTCATCTGAGGCGTCGCTATCGGACACATTTGAATACTTTAGGGTTTGGATTGTTGTGGCGTCTGACCACCTTCATCAAACATCAGTATACAGAAGAACACAACACATTGGTGCAAATAATTAGAATGTAGGCGTGGATGGAGAAAGTATGGGGACAGCAGACAGTCCAACAAGTCTTAATCAATGAGATTTAAAGTGTAACTATTGGACAATTTGTATTCTCAGTTTCTATTTTGGTGTCTTTTTAAGAACCACCGGTCTACATCCGATCATTGTGGGAATATGTGTTGAATTCATTATAAAGAAATAGAAATCCACATCAAATTGGTGCAATTCATCTGAGTGAAGATGCAGAAGCAGAAAGCAGCGTGAGATAAACTGATTTATTTGAGATGAAAGGGTTGGATTTTCTATCACTGACTGTTGTTCAATTTTCATACTGAAGGTATTTATTCCTGTGCAGAACCGCCCACATTAAAGTGCTGTAAAGATCATTGTTGCTGTATTCTTGTAATCTTGCATAGACAGTAGCTAAGCAACAGAAAATATATTGCCTAGGGAAACAGGACTTTGTTCTTAATTCTGCATTTACGTGCACATTGTGTCACTTGCACCATTGTCTTGCACTGATTTGAGTCAGTGTTATGTATGTTTTATATGTTGCATGCTACAGGAGTTGCCAACACTACTACTACTCTGTGCATTTGACAATAAAGCCGGTAAAGGTCTTGTTCACTGCAACAGATTTGAGATGTTTCATTCAGCTTAAGATCATTTTTCCACTGACACTTTCTCTCCTTTTTTCCCCAACAGGAAGTGGCCTGGAAATGACTTTTATCCCCCGAGCACAGACGTTCCCCAGCTTCCTGTCTGAGGAGCAGGAGCAGAGCCAGGATCAGGCGCCGTCGCCCTCTAGTGGCCGAGGGTCCAGTTGCAGCCTGAGACCCCTTCAATGACAGAGGACTGCTCCCCCAAAAAAACGGACACTTAACCCCTCCCCCCCCCCCACTGTAGAGAGGATGTAGAAATATGTATAGAGACATGTGTAATATATCATTTCCTGGTGAAACAGTCAACTGTAGAGCGAGTGGCACATGAGAAGGATCCTGAAAGTTCTTTAAACGTGTGTGTGTGTGTGTGTGTGTGTGTGGTGTGTGTGTGTGTGTGTGTGTGTGTGTGTGTGTGTGTGTGTGTGTGTGTGTGTGTGTGTGTGTGTGTCAGCAGGAGCAGTAGCTTCAGAGATTGCACCAAATATGCTGTCGTTTTAAAGTGTTTTACGTTGTCATTAAGCTGTTGAAGCCGGCCGTACTCCCTGTTTTAAATCACACCATACAGCGGTACACACTTAAAAAAGAAAATGGTTCTGAAATCACACAGAAAGTCCTCAGTTTTCTGACTCATAATTCTCCCTAACTTACTGTACTCCGCTCCCTTTTGAATGTGAATTTACAGACACAGCTTGACTTTGGTGGCAGTGATGAATCAGCTTAATCAGCAGCAAAAGAAATGCAACCCAACAATATACTCCACTCTGCCAGCGCTACATTACAGTAGCAGAGCGATTTGATTTTGATATCTCCTCTCATACTTTACAGTAACTGGTTCATTAGTTAAAGGAGGGAGAAAGTACATCATGGGACTCATGGCAAAACGTCATTCTTTGATTTGCTTGCATTTAAAGTTAGAAAAATATATTAGCATTAATGTTTAACTGAGGAAACGAGTGCTCAGTTAAAACACAAAACTGGCATCAAAGGAAGAGTTTGACAAATTGGGAAAATAGCTTTCTTGTCGAGAGTTATACACACTTTGTATTAGCAAAAGTGGGACTTATCATTGCTCCAAATTAATGCAGGAAGAGAAATTAAAATCAAGTATATCTCAGAGGAATATCCATACCACTTTAAGCCAGCAGCTGGTTAGCTTAGTTTAGCTTAACGACTGGAAAAAGGTTAAGAAGCTAGTCTTAAAGCTAACATACTCTGCCTACTTGCACCTGTAAACATTAAAACAACATATTGCTTTAATGGTTTGGTTTTTGCACAGTTGAAACAAATGGGATATTTAATGGTAATTCGTGCACCTGAGATTTGCTGGAAGGCAGATTCTTTTCCCCTTTCCAGTGTTTTTTCGGCTATCAATCTTATTTTACGCAGCAGGGAACATTGAGAAAGACTTAAATTGCCCAAATCAGCAGAAACTTGTCAAATAATTTCAGTAATTCTTTCTGTAGCATGTGAGTAAATGAGAGCTGTGGCGATAAATGTCCTCGAGTAAGAAGTGCCTTCAGACACAGACGGCAGAGAGACTTTGGGCTTCACATTGTACCTTCAAAACATGTTTAAAAAAGTCTTAAAGTGGACCTATGATGCTATATCTGAATAATATATTGTAGGGCCATACCTACGTATATAAAACATGTCTGTGAAGTTTTTTTTTCAAAATACCAAACAGATCATGCATTTTAGCCATGCCTCATTTCGCTCTATTTGCTTTTTTCCAGCCCTGTTTTTGCAAGGGCTGATTCTGTGAGAAGTCTTCTTCGCTGCTTTTGTGGCAGACTACAGCGCCACTTACAGGCCTGGCATATGTACTACAGCGTCTCCAGTGCTTTCGAGCGGCAATGGCCGTGGCCGTGGCCCAACCTCCCATTCCCCTGATAGGTGGAGAGTTGCCCATATAGGCGGAGCACCCCTTTTCTGTCGTCAGAAAAATTCAAATCTGTATCAGCTCCGTTGCAGCCCCGTTTTTAGAGATTTGGGTATGGAGGAAAAGAGAGGGTTGTGTTTTCTGAAACTTGGTGAGTTCCCTGGAACACCGGGGACACATATTCATGTATAAAAGACGTACAAAAGTGCATTTGCATGATAGGTCCCCTTTAAGTTCCTCCTAAATACTTTAGACCCAGCATCTGAAACACTAAAACTCAACCACAGCTGTTAGAAAGCTGAGTCATCCCGTCAATGACTTGTTATGTTAAAGAAATCAAGGCAACTTTATAATAAAAAATGATTTAATGACAATCATTTGGGGGAAAATGTCAAACAATATCACTTATTTAATGTTTGTTTTGTTGTCGTAAAACTGGAGAAACGAGCACTTACTCTGTGTTGAGGTTCAGTTTGCAGTCAGTCACTTTATTTGGTGTATTATATTTAAAAGATTTGAACCTTCAGATTAATTTGCGCCTCAAATAAAGTGCCCATTTTAAAGTGTCTGCGTCACAGAGTCCATTTTAAGATCTGTAGACGGACGTTTCTGCCCTCGTTGTCCTGAGTCTTAGCTAAAGCGTGGTAAATAAATGTGTGTAAAATGTAATGATAGTACCTCTACACGTGGAGCGTCACAGCAGAGACCGGAGGATCGTGTTTATCATTTGCAGATTTTTGTAGTTAATTGTTCACTTTGTTTGTAGCTTTGACAGGGTTTCTGTTTGTTTCGTCACGTTTTGTGTTCCTGTCACATTACTATGTTAATAGCACTTTGAATACATTGAGTGTAGGACTACAGTTTTCACTAAATGTACATATGTAATGTTTTTGATGATAAAAAAGGTAATAAATTGAATGTTCTATCATTTTCAGCAAATTATTTATACTAACAGAAATGTTTAATGCAAGGTAAGTAACCGTTATTTCACTTTTTGAGAGTTACATAACCGACTGATGCTTTCATTTCTTTATAGTTTCTATAGAACACCTTTTTAGCAACGACAATTAGTGTTTTCAGACAATATGCAACATATTTGCACAATAAAGTAAAAGTCCAAACATATATAACCTGATTAAATCACACATTTCTTATATATTTCTTCAAGATAATGTATAAACAAAATCAGAGGTTTGAACAGACCCTATGGACAAGACTTCTGTCACCAAACCGCTCACACGTTTTTGTTGTTTGTCACATGTTGTTGCACGTCACAAAGCGTGCACCGCCCGCGCAGAATGTAATGCTTACAGGTCTTTGGTTTGGTTCCCATGAGTCTGTCGTGTCTATTTTTCTCAGACCCTTTGTTGATCAGGCAAAAACATTGGCATCCAAAGGTGTCTTGGAGGGAAAATGGAACCTGTGTGAACAGCAAAGCTGTTGGACTTTGTTGCTGTGTAGACTCAAAGGCAAGACCTACAATGCAAAACACCACACAGTTTAATGGGTACTTTGGTTGCGGCTTCTGTCTACATCCTGGTACTCTAATAGAGAAACAGGTGACAGGGTAGAGCAGAAATGCATGATTTAAAAAATGGGTGAACAGACGCACATTTGTTACTTTCCAAACGCACATGAGAGGGACTAGTATTGCTCATTGGTTGTCATAGCTTGTATTTAGCTGTAATATTCCTGAAAGCACCAGCTAAAACTATGATCAGCTGCACTGTTTGGTTTCCCTTCGAGGAAAACAAATGCTGCTGTCAAAACATTTTGTAAATATATTGCAACATACAGAGCCCCTAAGGGGATATAGAAAAGAAACGTTCTTGTACGCATTAGAAACTTACCAGTGAACACAGGAGCCGATGGAGCTGCTCAGTCAGTTTGTGGCCGTTTCTCAATGTCGAGTAAACCTGCTGCAGAGCCACTACTTTCAAGTAGACTACGTCATCGAGTGGCGCCGAATGACTGTTTAAATGCATGTTAAATCATAGATATATATAAACACGTGTTTATATATATCTATGAGTTAAATGCCCAGCATTCGGCGCCACTCGATGACGTAGTATACTTGAAATAGTGGCTCTGCAGCAGGTTTACTCGACATTGAGAAACGGCCATTCTGTCTGATCTTTAAGTTGTGCCTCTCTGTGAATACTCTCACTTTGAGATATTACATCAATACAATTGATGAAGCAATAACAATATTTATAAATAAGTCCAGCTTTGTAAATATGAGGATTTGTTGTTTTTTCCCTTCTGTTTTATATCATTGTGTATGTAATGTCTATGCCTCTGGACATTTGAATTGGTATTTTCTTACTGTTGTGTAAAAATAACAGTTAAGCTATTCATCATCGTGAAAAGCAATGAACAGATGAATTGATAACATATGAATGTATAACTCAATAATTTAGGTTATAAACTATACTTAGTTAATGAGCCAGGGGGTTGGTTGTGCCAATGTAGATGGACCATGTCTCATAGTGACTTTTTGAAGGTCTATAGTTTTGATAAATGCATTATAGCATTGCAAGAATATAAGCTTTCTATATGCTATTACTCCTTATTTCAACCCTATATCATTGCAATTCTTTCAAAAAAAAATTCTACATTTTTACGCATAGAGCCAGTATGAAAGCGGGCAACCTACTCCAAAAGCTTAAAGTAATATATCATTGTAAAGTTTAGACCAAAATCTATGTACCGTCACATTTTAAAGAGACTAAACACATCATTTGACCTTTTGAAATCTTGGGCTGCTGAAGTACCTATTGTTAATACCGCTGAAAATGCACTTATATAGTGTTCAAAAACTTTTCATACCTAGGTTATGGCTATTGACAAATGAACTACTACTTCTCTGAGCTGTTGAACAAATATCAGTCTTTCTTCAGCAAATGGTGCTTGTTTATTTAGTTGCACATGTGGACCTTAGGTCAAATTATAGATGATTTTATATTGGGGGGTGGCATTGTTGGTACTGACTGGATATTTTGACAGACCGGTTAGTTTTAGACCTTATAAAAGAGTTGCTCTGATGTCCTTAGAGAAAAAAAGTCAGCCCCCGAAAAATGTATTGAAGTGAAATGCTAAGATCCTTAACCACCCTTATCATAACTACCAAATACCAATATTCATTCATTATCAGAATGTTAACTCTTTAAATGTTTCTTTACGTAATGCCATTGCTTGTGGGGTGTTTTTTCTTTATGGAATAGATCAATGATATCTTCAAAAACAGGATGCAGTTGGGGTATTTGGTAAAAGACACGCAAAAAACTGCATTTATTAAGAGCTAACATGAACCATATGCTATATATCAGGGCTTCTCAAAAACGTCTCGGAACCAAGGTCCGGATCCGGGGACGGCGAACTGGCCAATCAATCCGGACGCGAACCTGGTGTCCCCATTTAAAAAAAATACATCATCATGTACGCGCGTCTTGTGTCCTGACGCGTTGGAGAATGAACGATGCATATATATATTACGTGTGTGGCGCGAGCGTGACACGCATAGCAGACCCGCAGTTAACCGCAAGTGTACCTTGAGACTTTCCTAGATGCTTCTAATGCCTTTTTTTGCCGAGGTTCAAGGCATTGACTACAGACAAACAGTGCTATTTCTCCACTAGTTCAAGCCACAATATGTATGTATTGAATGTGTGTGGTGTATAAAGGTCCACAAAGCAAACGAACCGACATGAAAACCACCCTTAATTTACCTGCAACGACATGTCGGGAAAACCCCTCAAGGGGGCCCCATGCATAGAGCGCCAAGAAACTGCTTCTTAATTTCAGTTGCGTTACTCCGCTCGGGGGTGGGGGCGGGGGGGGTGGCATTGATACGGACCAGTGACCTTGTATAAAGTTCACAACTGGACCTTTAATAAAAAAGTTTGAGTACCCCTGCTATATATGGTCGAAAATAGTAAAAAGCTACATTTTGAAGTCAATGTCATAATTATGTTATGCTGCAAGATAGAGAGGAGGAGGAGGAGGAGGAGGAGGAGGAGGAGAAGGAGGAGGAGGAGGAGGAGGAGCAGGAGGAGAGGAGGAGGAGAGGAGGAGGAGGAGGAGCAGGTTGACTTCATAGACGCTGCTTGTTCTAAATCTTTATTGAACGTATCGATCACTACAGTCTTCAGGATCAGCTTTAATACGTTGCTTCAAGAAAACTTTATTACAGACACAATCAGTGAGACACACGGTAACCAATGAGAAGCCTCCATTTAAAACACCATCATGTGACCCAGGACAGGAAGTGGTCTCCTCCTACAGAGGACACAGAGGACACAGAGACACTGAGGAGTCATCCCCAACCCCAAACCCAGCGTAGAGAGGTTCAGTGAATGTGGCTCTGAGGGTGTGGAGGAGGATCAGTGAGGAGGAGGAGACTCTGTAGAAGGAGAGAGAGCCAGCAGCATGATCCAGATACACTGCTACTCTACCAGAGGAGGAGGAGGAGGAGGAGGAGGAGGAGGAGGAGGAGGAGATGTCTGTTTCTCTGTTATTGTGATAGACAGCGTAACCTCTATCAGAGCAGGCCAGAGTCCAGGAATGATCATTCAATCCAAACACACATTCATCTCCTTGTCCTTTCCTCCTGATTCCTCTGTAAGTCACTGCTATCTCAACCTCTCCTCTCCACTCGACCTCCCAGTAACAGCGACCAGTCAGAGCTTCTCTGCACATCAGCTGAGCCCAGCCATCAAACCTCTCTGGATGATCAGGATATGGCTGCTCCTCCTCCACACTTGTCACCGTCCTGTTGTCCTCAGACAGTTGAGGAACCTCTCCACTGTGTTTGAGTCCAGGGTGAGTCCACAGGAATCTGAGGAGAGACACAGACAGCAGTTTATCACCAGACTCACCTGAAGGCTTTCCTCTCTGTCAGTGGTCTTTCTATAAAGCTTCAAGATGTCATGTTCTAATGAATAAATAGCACCTCCATCATCTGTGTCTCTAGAGCAGGGGTCTCCAACCTTTTTTAGGGTGAGGGCTACTTTCAAAAAATAAAACAAGTCGTGAGCTACTTTTACTCCTCTTTTTGTTGTTTTTTGCAGTGTATATATTTAGCACATTTTAACATGATGACATGCTGACCTTTAACCTTTGTGTCTGTTTGGGTCTGTGGGACCCCTTCAGTGTTTACTCAAAGAACATGTATGCTATCTCATTATTTTAACCTGCTTTATTTGGGGGGGGTCCTCACCTCCTCTCCTCTAGGGGGGTCCTCACCTCCTCTAGGGGGGACCTCACCTCCTCTAGGGGTGGACCTCACCTCCTCTAGGGGGGTCCTCACCTCCTCTAGGGGGGTCCTCACCTCCTCTAGGGGTCCTCACCTCCTCTAGGGGGTCCGGGGGCATGCATCAATCTGGAGCACTCTGAGCCCCAGATGAATTGATGGAAACAGCTCTCAACACTCAGATGAAAGAGAGCTGTAAACTTTCCAATAACCCAAACCTCTTTAGAATATGATCTCAACCAATAACAAATCATTCAAACTGGTTTATTCTGATCTGATGTTTCCTAGTTAGCATTCTTTCTTTCTATTCATGCTGATCACTCTTTCAAACTGTTTATTTTGCCTCTCTCTCTCTCTCTCTCTCTCTCTCTCTCTCTCTCTCTCTCTCTCTCTCTCTCTCTCTCTCTCTCTCTCTCTCTCTCTCTCTCTCTCTCTCTCTCTCGGGCTGTGTGCTCCTCCGTGGCGATGACGGCTTGCGTTAAAAAAATAATAATAAACATATTTGTAAAGTGGGGGGACACAAACGGGATTTTGAAAAGAGCGGGGGACATTTCCCCCCTGTCCCAGGTGGAAGAGACAAGTGCAATAAATATATAATGCAAGTTGCAGCACACAGAGTAAAGCTCTGCCCCCCATGTGCTGTATAGGCTGCATGATAGGCTGCTTAATGGGGCTGATGTGTTGTGTAGATTCTGCCAGAAGGGAAATCAGCGGGGAGGTGCCTTTTCTTCCCGACTGCAACGCTGGTCCCGCAAATCAAGCAAGAACGTGATTGGTCGATATTCATTGTGGGGGGGGGGGAGGAGGGGTGTTAGATAGATATAGAGTTGTAGTAAGTAGATAGAGTTCGCTATGATTGAGGTTTCGTTTATGCATAGGGTAGATTCTTTTAATTACATTTCCTTTTTTGTTTTGTGTATTTTATACATTTTGGATTTGCTTGGCGAGCTATTTTTAGAACATGCCCTGCGGGCGACTCACGTTGCCCCTGCGGGCGACTAAGTGCCCGCGGGCACCGTGTTGGCTACCCCTGCTCTAGAGAGAAGCTGACTGATCCACACTTACACTTCCTCAGACCTGCTCTGAACCTCTGCTCTCCACCATGGTCCAGCCTGGAGGAAGAAACACATGTGAGAAACAGAACAGCGTATTGTTAGAATAAAGTATTTATCAATGTTCATCATAATAATAATAAATGCTATGTGTCCGAAGGGAGCAGGAGGGAGCAGATGCTTATTGATCCCCCTCACTTCCTGCTGATCAATGATTATCCTTTCAATCATCTCTGAAAGTTATTCCTACTTACATATTTACATTTATACATTTACAATCATTTCTCCTCTTCAATCTCCTTTCTTCATTCTCATACTTTCCCAAAGAAGTGTTTCTGTGCATCCTTCAAAGTGAATGCTATGTGTGCTTTGTTTGAACTCCTGCTCCAAGCCGCTCCATGAAACCCCCCCCCCACAGATTGTTCTGCTCTTCTCAGAGTTCTTCTGACCTTGAGTTGTTTCAGATGTAGATCTCCTCTCAGATGATACCCCCCCCTCTCTGTCTATGAACAACGTCTGTAGTGTCCTAGGAAGTAGATGATCTCTTGCTCTGTACATGATGCAGTTTGAAATGTAACCAGATCAGTAAACTTCAGTGTGTGTGAGTTCAAGAATAATGAATGAGTGTGTTCAAGATATCCAACATTATTGATTACTCTTATAGCCCTTTTGTGTAATGTGCATAACGGCTGCAGGTTGGTTTTGTGTTTCCCCAGATCTCCACACAGTAACTCAGACATGGAGATATGAGTGTAAGCTGATGTGTTTCCATGAAACTGTCAAGTCTTTTTGTAAAACCCTTTTCAAGGATGAAAGTGGGAGAGCAAAGAAACGCCGGGTTACGTATTGTAACCCTTGTTATATTAACACAGGCGGAGCCCTCTACTGGACTCTATGGGTACTACCTTATCATGCAAGCATTCACCTACTGAGATTTCTATAGACGTAGCCGGCCCCGGGGCGGGCCTACCTGAATGCGTGCGCATCTCACTTCCCTATAAAAGGAGGCCTCGCCTCCTGACCACCATCCTACACCACTCTTCAGCGAGCGGTATAGGACAGACAGTGCCCCCAAGGTAGAGGGCTCCGCCTGTGTTAATATAACAAGGGTTACAATCATGGGCGTCGCAGCCATTATATGAGGGTGGGACAAGTCCCCCCCACTTTTTCAAATGATTAGTTTAGACCCCCCCCACTTTTACTATGCGGAAAGTCCGTGAATCGGTCTATCCACTCGCCGCACTTTGTAGAGCGCTGTGTCAGTGCTTCACTATCAAATTAAATCCATTCCACTTGCTTATTGAGAGAATGCCCAAATCAATGAAACTCCGTACCATGTTTTCACTGCTACTTTGTACCAAGGCAGATTCTCACATAGCGCGCGCATGTTCAAGGAGTGTTGTCATAGTTGGACAGCTCAGATCTTTTGTATAAAGCGATGCCGGTAGCGGAGGTAAGGCACACACACCAAATGTTCAGGAAATGGTTAATACAGCGAAAATCAAAGCTGACGATCTCTTGGTTTGATATGTTTTCTCCCCCAGACAACATGGACATAAGAACATTTTTTTCAAAGAAGAGGAAAGTAAGTCATCAGCTGGTAGCAGTTAATCAGTTAACAGTGATGGCGGCGTCTCACTTCTGGAGAGGAGTTTCGTCTTTATGTCATGATAGAAAGATACAAATACTGAATAGTTTAGATGACAAAAGGCATCGAAATGCCAGGTTACTAGTATTTATCATGTAAACAGGAAACATGAATAACCCGATCTCTCTGTGCTCATGTAAACACCATATCCCCAATATGATCATACCCGGGATAATACTCATAAACGGCTTACTGATGTCCATGTAGAGACGCAGTCAGTGTGTTTTACTGGAGCCTCAGTTCGATAAGAGATTCTTTTCTGAGTTCTTTAACTTAGGTACTCTCTCTCACAGTGGTAATGTGCATTATGTTTTAATTATACTTCTTATCATTCAGAAGCTTTTTGTGTGTGTTTATGTTTTACTGAGTGCTTATAGGCTATTTCCATCCCAGTATTCAGTTAACTATTTATTTTCTGTGCACATTACATAGACTAGCTAATATTCTACCTACTGCTTGGGACTTTGAGTCTTCAAAATGTCCAATGTCACAGACTGGGACTTACTTTAGAGTCAGTTGTATTTACATTCAGTATGACTTGTTATGATTCAATGTGAAAGAGTATACTGCTCAATAAATAATTATCACTTCACCACCTCTCTTGACATCTAGGCACTTGAGAGTGAGTCAGAGGCAGAATACAGGGACAGTGGAGAGAGGTCCATTGCTGAGGTGAGTGATGAAAGGGAAATGACAGTTGAGAGTAAATTGAGATGTGGACTCTCATCCCAGGATTTTAAGGAAATCAGTGGGGATATTGAACAGGAAACATTTCAGTCAAGGGGCATCATATGACCAATATAGACAGAAGAGCAACATTTATTTGAACATTTAAGTCAATGATACCATTCCTAGGTGAACTTAACATCCGTATGGAGTCAGATCAGTCTCAATATTAATAAATGCTCACAGAAGGATTCACAAATGTATTTTGCGATTTATATATAAATGACTCTCCACAACAATATCTCTCAATGCACTCACAAATATTTATTGTTGTATATAAATGTACAAAAAATGGGCATTTAAACTGCTTTTTATTAATTCAAAGACAGCTCTGAATTAATAATCAAATATGTTTCCTTTCTTTACTACTGGATGAAATTACAAAATGTACCCATCATTTTCGTCATGCTAGTGTAGCCACATAAAAGTATCAAACCACCTGTTAAAATGCACCAGAATACAGGAAATCTATATATTTTTTCGCCCCCACACCCCCCGTTAAAGATGTCCCTCCCACATTCAGGATGCTTCCTACGCCCATGGTTACAATACGTAACCCGGCGTTATATCTCTCACAGGCTCCGCCCTCTACTGGACTCTATGGGTACAGTGGGCGGAGCCCCGATGTATGCACGCACTGTCGTCCAGCACACCGTTCCACCTCACTGTCCCTGACCGGCTTTAGCAGCCACTGCGCCTCACTCACCTCTCCCTCGGTTGTAACCGTGGAGAAGTCCGGGCTGCGGCCGATAGAGCACACCCTGACGCGCTTGCCTCGCAAAAAAGTGTGCTCAAAAATAGTGCTGAGGACTCCCGTGCGTCTGCCCATAGGCAGACAGGGAAAGTCTGCAGCCCTGTATGGGTTCACTATGCACTCTCCCTCCTGAGTCCCTAAAGAGCACGGGGAGAACGCAAGTGCCCCCTATGTCCCCCCACTCCGCCACTGACCCTGTGCAGAGTGTGTAGGGACCATAGTATGGAGGGCTCTCCCCCTCCTGCCCCCAGGCAGGCGAGGGGAGCCCTTCAGCCCTGTAAGGGCCCAGAGCGCATTACATCACCCCGCGACCCTCCAGGGGTCCGGAGAAATGTAAGCGCATTTACGCCCGGGGAGGGGGTCAGATGCCCACTGACCCACAGCCCCCCCCTCCTCACCAGTCCTGTGTTGCCACAGCAAGCACAGACGTTAAGAAAGAGCCAGACATATCCAAGAGATAAAACTTTATGAAGGGGCCTGGCGTTGACCAAGACGCCGCCGTGCATATATCCTCCACACTCACACCGCTGAATAAGGCTGTTGATGCAGCCACAGCTCGTGTGGAGTGCGCACGGACCCCCATGGGACAGGCTCTCCCTGCCTGCTTGTAGGCGTGTGCAATGGCTTCGCAAAGCCAGCCTGCCAGGCGTTTCTTGGACAGAGCTTTTCCAGTCACCCCGCCCCCGAAGCACACAAACAGCTGTTCAGTGCGTCTCAGGGTAGCTGTGCGCTCTACATAATATGCTAACGCGCGCACCGGGCAGAGGAGGTGTAATTTAGCTTCCCTAGCCCCACCATGGGGTGGAAGACTAAAACCCCCCAACTGAATAGCCCTCGACCTGAACGCACTCCTTAGGCTCTTGGGCACAAAGGAGGGGTTCGGTCTGAGTGTCGCCCCTCTCTGGTCACCCCGAATCAGTAAACAGCTCGGCTGCACTGACAGAGCGGTTAACTCGGACACTCTTTTGGCTGACGTTAAGGCAAGTAGCAACGCTGTCTTCCACGACAGTGCTTTCAGGGAGGAGAGCTCCAGAGGCTCAAAAGGCTCCGTGACCAGAGCCTCGAGCACCAGCGGCAGGTCCCACTGTGGGGCGGAGGCGTGCACTACCGGGCGCAGCCTCCTGACCCCTGTAAAAACCGCAACATCAGTGGATGAGAGAAGGCTGACCTGCCGTTGAATCCCTCATGACAGGACGAGATGGCTGCTGCATACACCTTCACTGTGGAATGAGCAAGCCCTCTGTCCACCAGTAACTGTAAGAAGGATAAAATAGAGCCCAACTCACAAGATAGGGGCTCTATTCCCCGCTACTCACACCAATGCTGGAATCTCAGCCACCTTGGCCTGTAACAGGCTGTGGTGGATTCTGCTCTAGCTGCCTGGATAGACTGAATAACGCTGTCAGACAATCCACCCTGTCTCAGCCTGTCCCTCTCAGGAGCCAAGCCTGAAGAGGACGGCCCAGAGTGGGTAACGCCCCGATTGCACCTGCCTCTTGAGACATCGCCCCCCAGAACTGGGGGATCGCCCAGGGCTGGCCCACCTTCATCTGTGTCATTTCTGAGTACCACGGAGCCCCGACGCGATCCGGTGCCACCAGAATGACTGCCAGACGTTCTCGCCTCCCTCTCCCCAGGAGAGGGAGAATGAGACACAGCGGTGGAAAGGCGTATAGCAGCTTCCTTGGCCATGGCTCGTGTGCAAACGCGTCCACCCCCAAAGGCGGGTCGTTGCTCAGGGCCATGGAGAACCACAGGGCACAGTGGCTGTTGCGCCGGCTGGCGAACAGGTCCACTTCCGCTCTCCCGAACTGGGCCCAGATCTGCTTCACCACCTCCGGGTGAAGCGCCCCTTCGCCTGGCAGGGGGCCGCCCCTCGCCATGAGGTCGGCCCCCCTGTTCTCCAGTCCCGGGATATGGAGGGCTCTCAGAGATAACACCACCTCTGAAGCCCATAACCACAGCCTCTCCGCTGTGGCCAACAAGGGGGCGGAGCGGACTCCGCCCTGCCTGTTGATATAAGCCACTGTGGTGCTGTTGTTGCACCTGACCAATACATGTCTCCCATGAATTAGGGGCATGAAATGCCGGAGAACTAACACTACTGCCCGTAGCTCTAGGAGGTTGCTGTGTCGAGACTCCGTAGAGCCCAGCGCCCACCTATAGCCCTCTTCAGGCAGGTCCCTCCCCATCCTGTTCTGGATGTCCGTGAACACTGTGATGTAGGAGGTCACCCGTGCCAGTGGAGACCCCCTCCGGAGGTGATCCGGGGACCCCCAAAACCGGAGGTTGCCCTCCACTGAGGGGGGGATGGTCACCAGCCGCCGTTTGTGCCTCTTGGGATCCAAACGCAGGCTGGAGAACCACCTCTGCAGGCGGCGCATATGTAGTAACCCCAACGGGACCACAATGTGAGCAGCCGCCATGAGACCCAGAGTCTGCCGCCCCCTGTCGCAGCCTGTGCACCGCCCGGAGAAGGGCGGCGCGTAGCGCGTCTGCATCGAGCACCACTCCCAAATACAACGCCTGTTGGTGAGGTATGGGGGTGCTCTTTTTCCAATTGACCGCAAAGCCTCATTTGGTTAGGTGTGTGATCAATCGTGCTGTGCAAAACATTGCCTGTTCCCGGGACCCAGCCATGACTATGAGGTCGTCTAGGTAAAAGAAAACTCTCATGCCCTGGGCGCGCAGCGGTTAAAGCGCTGTGGCCACACATTTGCTGAATGTGCGTGGGGATAGGGAATAGCCGAACGGCAGCCTGTTGTACTCGTAGGCTATCCCCTGGAAGGCAAAACGCAGATACTTTCTGTGCTCTGGAGCAATTTCTACATGAAAGTACGCGTCTTTCAAGTCGATGGTGGTGAACCAATCGCCTGGCTGCACAAGCCCAGTAACTGTTTCATAGTTACCATGCGGAATTTCCTGCAGGAAATGTGGCGATTCAGGCCGCGGAGATCTAGAATAGGTCTGAATTCCCCTGTCTTCCTGAAAACCAGGAAGTACATGGAATAAAGACCCTTTTCTCTGTGCTGAGGGTGCACAACAGACACAGCCTGCTTCTGCATGTTCTCTTCTGATTGACACGTTATATTGAATTGCTCTTCTGTGAAATAGTTGCAGCTGTTGATATTGTTCAGTAAGTTGTTTTCCGGATCAATGTCATTTTCCATGTCCTGTGTGTTATGCTCTGTATATGCAAACGTTTATAGTCTTGATAGAGAGATGTGTTTATTATCTGGAATGGTCATGGTAGTGTTTTATTTCCGTGACCTGCTCTGATTTGTTTCATTGATATGTTTCCAGTTCCTCCAGGTCCCTGATGATGGACACTTTGTTCTGGGGATCCGTGAAGCTTGATGGAGATGTTGCACTTTGCAGTCCATGTTGATGTATTTTTCGCTGTTTTCTCAGGAATCGGGCCTTTATGGCGATCTCAGCATTTATTTTAGTGAGGTGTTCATTCATATATACATCCGAGCCCTTAAGCCGTCTTCCCTGTTTCAGAAGTTCAGTTTTATGTTTTCTGTTGGCAAACCTTATTATTATTGCCGGTTTATCTGTTTTATTTCTGTGTGGTAGCGGGTGACAGGCCTCGATGTTGTCGCTGTCAATCTCTATTCCCTTGGAGTTGAGGAAGGCCGTCACCTGTAGCTCCACAGATGTAGCATCCTCCTCACTTGTGTCCCCTCCGGTCATCCTCATCGCCGCCTGGGCGTATGAGCAGGGTTTCGTCTCCAGTCCAGTGATTATGATGTTGTGGATTCGGGTGTATTGCTCCAGCTCATCCACCCGATTTTCCAGCAAGAATATCCTTTTTTCCTTTTCGGAGTTTTGTAGCCTCAGGGCTTTAACTTCCTCCACCAGGCTCATAATGTTATCTGTTGCTGTCTTACAACAGATACCTCCTCCGTCAACATGTCTAACGATCGTTTAATGTCGTCAACCTCCTCAGCATGCGGAGGAATCTTTTTTGGTGGCATTGCGTTTTGTTTAGGATTATTATATAACGGAGAGAAAGAGGAAATGAGTGTTTCCGTCTCTCTGCGGATCCTTCTGCTTGTTGTGACACAGACTACTTTCACTTCCAGGTCTGTGTTAAGAACAAAGCTCAAAGCTCATAATGTGCAGAAAACCAAAACTGTGGTCCAAACAGTAGCAATCCTTGTTGTATGTGCTTTCCTGCTAAACACCAAAGAAGCACATGCATTCCTCCTGACCAAGACAACGTGCACATATGAAGCTGATTCAACAAAACTAAAGGACATCCCTTCTTTGCCACTTCCTCGGCTAGCTTGAGCCCTCAGTTTACCGGGTCACTCATTAAAGCACTTCATGACTGACAACATGGCGAATATATAATGTGGTCAAACTCATCAATTTTTACAGATTCGCAGATTTTGATGCTTTGCGTCCGAGTCAGCTGGGATAGATCGCCGAGATGCCGACCGGCAGAGACACTGGCTGCCGAAAACAAACAAAACCGAACCAACCTGCCCAAGTTTAACGAAACAAAAAACAGACAAACAAACAACTAAGTGAAATAATTAATAAGCACAAAAATAACCTACGTCAAATGAACGCATATTAAAGAGTCCGGATCGTCCCTCTGGGAATCTAAAATGTCAAACAGAATCTCATCTCAACATATTTAGCAGTTGGTGAGATATCTCAGTCAGAACCAAATTCATAAACTGACCATCATTATCCTCCATAGAGCCAGGAAACCAGTGGTTCTGATGTTTGGACTGAATGGCTGTTTCCATGTAATAAGACTTGAAGGTTAACCTGTTCCACTCTGAGCCTGTTTTTCAGGTCTCAGGCTCGAAAATGACATTCCCAGAACAAATGACCATATCTTCCCTTCTAAAAGGGTTAAATTAATAATCTTTGTTCTCAAAGTAATGATAAACCTGTGAGTTGGATGTAGAAGTGTCAGAATCAATATAAATGTTTTTTATTTTAAAGAAAATTCAGATTTTACATAGTAAAAGACTGTAAATGATAGTGTCCGTCCAAAAATTATTTTTTACAGATAGTGAAAACTACCCTTGGATGATGGGTTAGTAGACTAAAAGCTTTAGGAATCCAAAGTACAACATATAATAAGTACCCTGTATCAAGATTGATGCAAAACAAGTGAAATTTGACCTTTTTAGAGAGATTTAGCCAAAAACCCCCACTTCTGGGGTCATTTGGGTGGATTTGACCTATCTCTGGCCCCCCTTGGTCGATTTGGTTGGTTGACATACCCTTGTGACCATTAGAGCCAATAGAATCGAAGGGGGAGGCTCACATACACACACGTTGTAAAGAAAAAATGTGGGCGCTTCGCGTGTGGGAAACGAAAGCAAAGTGGAAGAATGTCTCCTTCTGGAGTTTGGAAACTAAAACGCAGTTGTATTACTTATGGATTATCAGAAATAATTTCAAAGAAGGCACAGACACATAGGATGAACCTATGGATTAACTGCAGCATCGTTTTTTTATCGTTTTAATGCCATTGAAGACCACTTTTGACCAAGGTAAGCCATGTTTACGTGTTTAGCTTCTTAGCTCCACATGTGATGATGTACGCTTTCGTTTATAGCGTCGCGAATGTTTATCACTGAGTGTTGAGGAGGGCACCGTTAGATTCAGTGTCTCCAGGACACCAAAAAAGAGTGTTTGGTTGTGCATCTAGGATAAGTAATAAGGGAGTTCTGAGTGAGTTTAAGTGCCGCATTACGTTCCATGTTTTCGCTCGTGGCTAATTCAGAGGCTGAGTGTTAGCATTGTGGGGTTTTTTTGAAAAAAAAAATTAAAAGATCAGTTAGCTGAGTTTCTTCCCGTTACATGGATATAACACATTCATAGTTTTATTCAATATTAAGATTCCTTAGACGTTGTTTCCTGCAAATGACGCGTTTATCCGCCCGGTACCGGGCGGAAGGTGCGTAACAGGTTAACTCACTGCTGTGAACATAATCAAGGGAAATGAGACGTCCTTCATGATGGAAGACCAGAGATGAAGGAGATGAAATTAGAAAAATAGGAGGAAGTCAGTCTGTCCATACCTGAGAGTCTCCAATCTCCAGAGTGGATCCTCCCGTCCAGCAGACAGCAGCTTCTCTCCTGAGTCTCCTGGATGATTGTAGCTCAGGTCCAGCTCTCTCAGATGGGAGGGGTTGGATCTCAGAGCTGAAGCCAGAGAAACACAGCCTTCCTCTGTGACCAGACAGCCGGACAGACTGGAATCAGGGAATACAGTAAACTCAGTGTTCTTAAAAGTCACCTCAGCAGGAAAATCATACAGAGGTGGACCATCTTCATCAACATGAACAAAAAGCTGGATGAAAATAATTGAACTGCTTGAAAATAAAAAGCTGAACTCTGACCTGAGAGTCTCCAGTTCACAGTGTGGACTCTTCAGTCCATCAGACAGCAGCTTCACTCCTGAATCCTTCAGGTCGTTGTTACTCAGGTCCAGATCTCTCAGACTAGAGGACTGGGAGCTGAGGACTGAGGACAGAGCTTCACAGCTTCTCTCCGACAGGTTACAGCCAGTTAACCTTGAAAGAAATTAATACATGACAACATTCCTTTAATATTAAATGTGATTGAGCGCAAAGTTTCAACATACAATCTTTTCTAGTTCTTTTGTCAAATGATACCATCTATTTGTCTGTGCATGTTTGGGTTGGTCAATCAGTCAGATACATTGAGATGAAGATAAGTGATGCCATCCGTCTTAAAATATAATAAGATTGTTATCATGGTTTTGTGGTTTATTGTTTTGAAGAAGAAAAATAAACAACAAACCGAAGGAGAATCGAAATGTATTATTATTCTAATTTGATAAAACTGGAAATGAGTCGATATAAATGGCTGAACAAAACCACTCTGACAGTTAACATATTGTCTGAATACTGACCTGAGAGTCTCCAGAGTACAGTGCGGACTCTTCAGTCCATCAGACAGCTTCTTCACTCTTGAACCCCGCAGCTTGTTGTTACTCAGGTCCAGATCTCTCAGACTAGAGGACTGGGAGCTGAGGACTGAGGACAGAGCTTCACAGCTTCTCTCTGACAGTTTGCAGCCACTCAGCCTGGGGAAAGATCAGCAGTGAACACAAAGAGTTTTATTCTCATGTCTCAACCTGTTCCTAGTTAATGTAGTTTGATCTCCACTTACAGAGCTTTCCTGGAGGCTTTGACCACTGGCAGCAGCCTCAGAAGAGCCTCCTCTGAAGCTGAGTATTTCTGCAGGTCAAACTCTTCCAGATCATCTCCTGATGACAGTAAGATGAAGACCAGAGCTGACCACTGAGCAGGAGACAGTTTACCTGCGGAGAGACTTCCTGATCTCAGGGACTGTTGGATCTCCCCCACTAGAGAACGATCATTCATTTCATTCAGACAGTGGAACAGGTTGATGCTTTTCTCCGGAGATGGATTCTTTCTTATCTTTTTCTTGATGTATTTCACTGTTTTCTGGTTGATCTCTGAGCTACTTCCTGTCTGCGTCACCAGGCCTCGTAGGAGTTTCTGATTGGTCTGCAGTGAAAGACCCAGGAGGAAGCGGAGGAACAAGTCCAGGTGTCCGTTTGGACTCTGTAAGGCCTTGTCCACAGCACTCTGGTAGAGATCTGTTAGTTTAGGTTTGGATATAAAGACTTTAGGCAGCCAGGAGTTTTTTGGTTCTTCTGCCAGCAGGTTGACTCCAGAGTTGATGAAGGTCAGATGGACATGAAGAGCAGCCAGAAACTCCTGAACGCTCAGATGGACGAAGCAGAACACTGTGTTCTTGTACGTTCCTCTCTCCTCTCTAAAGACATGTGTGAACACTCCTGAGTACACTGAGGCTGCTCTGATATCGATGCCACACTCTCTCAGGTCGGACTCATAGAAGATCAGGTTGCCTTTCTGCAGCTGCTCAAAAGCCAGTTTTCCCAGAGACTCCATCATCTTCATCCTGCTCTCTGGACTCCTGTGTGGATCTGTCTCAGCTCCTCCATCATACTTGACGTTCACTTTGGATTGAATCACCAGGAAGTGGATGTACATCTCAGTCAGGGTCTTGGGCAGCTCTCCTCTCTCAGTTTTCAACATGTCCTCCAGAATTGAAGCAGAGATCCAGCAGAAGATTGGGATGTGGCACATGATGTGGAGGCTTCGTGAGGTCTTGATGTGGGAGATGATGGTGCCGGCCGGCTCCTTATCTCTGAATCTCTTCCTGAAGTACTCCTCCTTCTGTGGGTCAGTGAACCCTCGGACCTCTGTCATCATGTCCACAAACTCAGTGATCTGATAGGCTGCTGCAGGTCGTGTGGTTATCCAGAGGCGAGCAGAAGGAAGCAGCTTCCCCCTGATGAGGTTTGTCAGCAGCCGATCCAATGAGGTGGACTCTGTGACATCAGTCAGGATGTCAGTGTTGACGAAGTCCAGAGGAAGTCGACACTCATCCAGACCGTCAAAGATGAACACAACCGGGAACTGATCAAACCTGCAGATTCCTGCATCTCTGGTTTCAGTGAAGAAGTGATGAACAAGTTCCACCAAGCTGTACTTGTTCTCTTTCACCACATTCAGCTCTCTGAAGGTGAATGGAAATATGAACTGGATGTCCTGGTTGGCTTTGCCTTCAGCCCAGTCCAGAGTGAACTTCTGTGTTAAGACTGTTTTCCCAATGCCAGCCACACCCTTTGTCATCACTGCTCTGATTGGTTTACCTCTTTCAGGTGAGGCTTTAAAGAGGTCTTCTTGTCTGATGGGTGTTTCTGGTCTGTCTGGTTTACTGGATGCTTGTTCGATCTGTCTGATCTCATGTTCCTTGTTGACCTCTGTGGTGTCTCCCCTGGTGATGTAGATCTCCGTGTAGATTTTATGTAGGGATTCTGATTTTTCCATAAATTTGATATTTTCATATGTTTCTTCAGGTTTGATTTGAGTTCACCTTGGCACTTAGTGAGAATATCTGAATGAATAAGAAAGACATTTACACGAAATACACATCAAAATATTTCCTTCTAATTGGACCCATTTCTGACAAAATAGCAGGTTATTTTCCTTATATCAAGTCACTGGATCGTGTTGCATAATTATCTGTACATTGTCCAGTATAAGTTCCACCCCACAGAGAACCATCAGTTTTCCCACAGAGAACCATGGCCCTAAACCTGACTGACTCTTATTCCTGCTGCTGGGAGATGAGGCATGATACCAGCAGATCCCAACACCCACTGAGGGTGTGGACACAGCTCTCTCTCCAGTTATACAGGAAGTGGATGGCTCTTACTGTGTCGCAGTATACTCCTGCAGTAGCCTACCATCTACAAGACACCCTGGGGGGTCACAGTAATAACCCGTCCCTTCCTCCCCAAGTCATGTTGGACGGCAAATGATACCTCCTTCCACCTGTAGGGGGCTGGGCCGTTAGTAATGACTAGGACAGAATCTGCAGTGAGCAATCCCAGTGAGGCTGAGCAATGTGCTCCTCTGATGTTTAGAGCTTACCATACAGTCCCCTTTAAAGCATGGACAATGACACTGTCTGCCTCCATGCAACATTGAACAGGAATTTAAATCACAACTGTCCAATCCTATATCAGGACAAACCTCCACAGTGTGTCCCTGTGGCCCCTTCTGATCACCTGAGCAACAACAGCTGTTCTCCAAGCCCTCAGCTCTGCCTCCTGAACTCAGTGTGCATCAGTCCCATTCAATATCCTGAGACTGAGTCAGCAGCTAACCTACACTGTGGAAAACAGCCGGGGTTTATCCATGACTCCCCCTCCTGAGATATCTGACAGTTCAGCAGGACAAACCTCATTCCTAACAGAATTGGCCGTTTCCTAGGAAAACGTAGCACTCAAGGACTCACTGCCATTTCAGAGCCCACTGATGACTTTCTGGTCATTCCTCTGATCCATCCCCTCCCCAACACTGGCTTTTAGCATCACCCACTTGTATTACATATCTCCAATGTCCCACCAGGAGTAACTCGTTGATATGGCATTGGTGGTTCAGTGGTAGAATTCTCCTTCTTAATAAGATCGGCTGGCGCATCATAATGACGTTGGATAGTGTCAGTGCGGTCGGATTCTCAAAGCACAGCAGTCTCTTTCCCTAAGTCCTATCATTAACCCCAAGATGTTTCACAAAGGTTAAGGAATTGTGGTTAGGAAGAGACGAAAGGCGATATATTTTGGAAGGTAATTGGATTCCTAAAATGCTGATCTATAAAGGTTCTACTACCCCTCAAGTGGAACCAACAGGGTGACCCTGCCAGAAACTAGTGACCCTGACCTCTCTGCTTTCAGGGGTACCTCAGCCCCAACACCATGTGGAGGTGATGGTTCTCTGAGGGGTATATCAGGAGTCTAAAAACATGATGCATGGCTGTGAAAAATAAAAAAAATTATATTTATATATATAGCTATATTTTGGTAAACTCTTTTTTAAAGACCTACCTTTAGGGTCTGATGAGGATTCTGATGAGGATTCTGATGAGGATTCTGATAATGCCTCCAATAGATCATTCCTCGGGATCTCCTTCAAAACTTCTCTGGTCACTTTAATGTCGTGTTTGCCGTAGTGCGTACGCATCAGATCTACTGTTTTCGTCCGGTTTGCTTTCTCTAGTTCACTCGTTGGGATTCCTTGGAATTCTAGGACCTTCTCCTTCAGGTGCCACTTGAATTCTTCAAATTCCTCTTCCTTCAAATATTTTAAAGTGTTTAATAGGACTTTATGTGTCTCCATCTTTTCTACCTGCAGAGCAAAGATACCAAGAAAGAAAATATTTATCTTACAGAACTATATTTTCTTATTTTGTACTTTTGAAAACCATAACAGGCCTTCGGGATCCAAAGAACAGCTGCCATGTGACTTTGAATGGTGTTACGACCCTGGGTCGCTATGTCATTTGTGTGCAGATATTTCTTCTTCCTCCTGTGTCTGTGTGGCTGCGTGTGAGTAAGCAGGTGGTGCCCGGTAGCTGATTGGCTGCCCTCGACAGGCTGATTGGTCCACCTGAGGAGACGGGAGCATTTAAGCTGCAGCCGTGCAGTTCCTCGGCCCTCTCTTTGACTCGACTTCTCCTACTCCCAACACTGTTGCGTATATATATATATCTGTCCTGTTGTGCTGTGGGTGTACTTATACCGTACACCAGTCATTTTGCTTGTTTTGAAACCTCAGAAGTAGAAACTACTTTAACCTGTCCTTGTGGACACGCTTGAATTTGCCCAGGAATGTGAAACCCTTTTCTTTTGGTTTATTCTCGTTTTCTCCTGTTTTTACGTCAGAGTAGGTAAGAAGCCTGTAGGTTTATTTTTCTTATTTGTTAGGCAAGATTTATGTGTTCAAAGATTTGTTTGTGTTGTGGGTTGTTGCGCCTCCTTGTAAAAACTTTGGTAATTAAAATTACCAAACGGCATGTTCTTGGGAATGGGAAGAGTGGGGAGAGTGCACATGTTGTGCTGCGCTTAGGTTCCCTTAGACCTGGGCGTAACAATGGCTTCAATTCAGATGTCGACATTCAGGAAGTCAATCCTAAACTTGAAGACAGTCAGCACAGTGAGTTCTGTCTTTTCCTTTAATGTCTTGGTTTGGTAACCTGACTTTAAAGAGCAGAAACTGTCTCAGTCAGATCATAAAGTGGTCTAGCAGACTGACTGGTGAGTCACAGCTAAACCTGGAGCCCCTGCTCATCAGACAGTTACAGAGGCTGTCTAACTCCATGTTCAATGAAGACTCCCACCCCCTGCAACCTGAGCTTCAGCTTCTTCCTTCGGGCCGGAGGTTAATCTCCCTAAAGGTGTAGAACCAAGAGGTTTAAAAACAGCTTTGTGGATGTTCTGGAGCCAGAGGGACTTTTTAAAGATGTGTCTGTTGTCTATATTGTATGAAGCATGTGTCACAATGGATACCTTTTCTTACTTCTGCAAACCAAGTTGACCTACTGGTACAAATAAGTACCATGAGAGAAATAAGAGAGTGACTCAGCCGGCGACCACACACCTGGTTCTGGTCTCTGGCAGTAAGCTGGTCACTGGACACAGAGCTGGGTCCAGGTCCAGGTCCAGGTCCAGGTCCAGCAGAATGAGGTCTTTGCTATGGGCTTGAACACAACACACAGAGCTTTGAGTGAATAATGAGTGCTGAGCTGTGACATGGAGAAGAGTGATGGACAGGTGGAGATGTCATGTTCCCCAGAGCTTTTAGAGGGGGGGGGGGCTTCCTCCTCTCTGTCTTCACACTGATCCATAGCAGAGCCCCCACCTTCACACAAACACAACAACATGCTCATTCATTACAACAAGCTTCACATCACAGGTAGCCCCTCCTCTCAGATATTCAGGAACCTTGTTGGAGCCTCAACAGGACCGGATCAGCCCAGAATGTTCCCCACAGCCCCAGAACCACACAGAAACCCAGTGTGTTGACCCCTAAATATGTGTTAGTGTGTCACAGTGTATCACAGCACACACAAACAGTCACTTCAATGTACATCCACAGGTAATGTACAGCCCAGCCCCCCACAAAATATCCCACACAACTGAACTGCACTCAGTAACCATTCAATACAACTTCTTTGTTAGGTTTAGAAAAAACATTTTTTTTTGGCTTAAAATATGTACGTTAATTACATGAAAGCAGTTACGGACTTTAATTAAAACTAGGTATTTTGTGAACTGATAAGAAATGTGTTTTTGATATATCATTGAAAATAGGAAAAACAAGTTCCCTGATAACTAAGTTACAATGAGGTTCAAATCTAGGGGAAGAATATTTTTGAAGTTTGATATAATCTCCCATTTACTTTTCATGCTAATTTTATGTATAGCCCAACATATATATCAAAACATGTACTGTTATATATGTTTTTCGAATTCGGGCAATCTAGTCCCAGATGTATAATCTAAAACTTAAAAAAACCATTTGACATTTTCAAGGCTCTTCAGTGAAACCAGGTCAGTGTTGGAAGACGGGCCCTTCACACTCCTTCCCTTATTCAGAGTATTAAGAGTTAGACATAAAAACAGTTAAGACTTGTTAGAGCGGGTTCTGACACGCCCTGCATTTTTATCTGATGACGAGAACTCAGAGAACAATCAGACTGCAACTCATTCTACCTGAAACACTGACAACAGTGCATGGTACGGTGGCCTGGAAGTGCAAGACGCCACAGCATTTCACAAAACACCACAGCATTTCAGAAAACACCGCAGCATTTCAGAAAACGCTACAGCATTTCAGAAAACGCAACAGCATTTCAGAAAACACAACAGCATTTCAGAAAACACCACAGCATTTCACAAAACGCCACAGCATTTCACAAAACAAAACAGCATTTCACAAAACGCCGCAGCATTTCACAAAACACAACAGCATTTCAGAAAACACCACAGCATTTCACAAAACGCCACAGCATTTCACAAAACACAACAGCATTTCACAAAACACAACAGCATTTCACAAAACACAACAGCATTTCACAAAACACAACAGCATTTCACAAAACGCCGCAGCATTTCAGAAAACGCTGCAGCATTTCAGAAATCACAACAGCATTTCAGAAAACACAACAGCATTTCAGAAAACACAACAGCATTTCACATTGGACGGAAAGGGTATTCCTTTAGGGAGAACACTCCTTGTTTGTGATTGGACAGAGCCAGCCAGAGAAGCACTGCTGTGATTGGTTGTTTTTGCTGCCAGTCAAGAAATGACGCTTCGTGATTGGTCAGCACCCGAGCGCAACATGTCCCAACACATCAACCGTTAGCTGTTAGCACACACTCAGAGCTCACAGCTCCTCATATCTGTTCAGAAACTGGACAAAAGTTAAACAAGTACAAACCACAGACTGTATATGTCATGGCGAATACAGTCGCTGCTTTATTTATGTCTGTATGACGCTGTTGTGAGTGTGGACGGAGCAGCTACAGGTTAGTTTAGCCTGATCGATCCGCCCCCTCTCCAGCACGTCTTGTTTGAATGACAGGAGTAAACACTGACAGCTGCGGTGAAACTCGACAACAAAAAGAACATATTGACCATGATTTAATTGTAATACACGTTTCAAAGTGATGCCGAAGTAACTACATAATGATACCGGTTAGTAAAAACCATGAATTAATGCTTTGACAAGTCTGCAGACAAGACGGCAGGCGAAAAGCTTTTAAAATGCGTGTTTTCTGAATGGAATCGGATCCATTAGGCTAAACTAACCTGTAGCTGCTCCGTCCACACTCACAACAACGTCATACAGACATAAATAAAGCAGCGACTGTATTCGCCATGACATAGACAGTCTGTGGTTTGTACTTGTTTAACTTTTGTCCAGTTTCTGAACAGATATGAGGAGCTGTGAGCTCTGAGTGTGTGCTAACAGCTAACGGTTGATGTGTTGGGACCTTATATATACAGTCTATGGTTGGGACATGTTGCGCTGTCGGGTGCTGACCGATCACGAAGAGTCATTTCTTGACTGGCAGCAAAAACAACCAATCACAGCAGTGCTTCTCTGGCTGGCTCTGTCCAATCACAAACAAGAAGTGTTCTCCCTAAAGGAATACCCTTTCCGTCCAATGTGAAATGCTGTGGTGTTTTCTGAAATGCTGTTGTGTTTTCTGAAATGCTGCGGCGTTTTCTGAAATGCTGTTGTGTTTTCTGAAATGCTGCGGCGTTTTGTGAAATGCTGTGGTGTTTTCTGAAATGCTGTTGTGTTTTCTGAAATGGTGTAGCGTTTTCTGAAATGCTGTAGTGTTTTCTGAAATGCTGTGGTGTTTTCTGAAATGCTGTTGTGTTTTCTGAAATGGTGTAGTGTTTTCTGAAATGCTGTAGTGTTTTCTGAAATGCTGTAGTGTTTTCTGAAATGCTGTGGTGTTTTCTGAAATGCTGTGGTGTTTTCTGAAATGCTGTAGTGTTTTGTGAAATGCTGTTGTGTTTTCTGAAATGCTGTGGTGTTTTGTGAAATGCTGTGGTGTCTTGCACTTCCGGGCCACCGTAGCATGGAGATCTTTCTAAACCCATTCTGCTTTCACTCAGGGAGAAACCCTACACAATATTTCAGACAGATGTTCAAACAGACCCTGGATATGTTTGAGTTATCTTAACTAACTGTGGTATCTTACCTTGTGTTATTATTACATGTTATTGCATTTGTCCAGCAGGGGGCAAACTCACTCTTGGTATTAAAAGAGCCTGTTGTACATGTTCCCATGAGGAAGTCCCGGAAGCATGTTACCAAAGTAAAACCAGTTAAATCTACTCCTATGTTGTGGACATACAATTATTGATCACAAGATACAACATATTATTGGCGACGAGGATTAAGAAGAGGATTAAGACAAGGATCAATACGGGATCAAAGAGGACATGCCGATCGGACTGGTTGGCACCTTACATGCAGGTTTGGGTCGTTAGCTGCAGCTAGCTCAAATTATTAGCAAAGTCTGCGGGTGGAGGAGAGGATTCATTGACACACAATGACAATGATTGGCACGCTGGCACCTTTTGATGCAAAAAATCAGAAGTGGGAAGAATACTGTGAGGTATTGGAACAGTTTTTTGAGGCTAATGAAATTGAAAATGGAGACAGACAAAGAGCCATATTAATAAGTGTTGTGGGATCATCAACATACAGCCTTATGAAAAACCTCCTCAGTCCGGATAAGCCCAAGGATAAGACTTACACACAACTTGTGGAGCTGCTAAAAAATCACTTTGACCCAAAGCCTAGTGAAATTGTGCAAAGGTACAAGTTTGACTCCCGCAACCGTGAGCCCAATGAGTCAGTAATGGAATACGTGGCTGAGCTGCGTCGGTTAGCGCAGGATTGCAACTATGGTAACACTTTGCAGCAGAGGTTGAGAGACAGGATCGTCTGTGGAATAAATGAAGATCGGATTCAGAGACGACTCTTATCAGAAGCGGATTTAATATTTGAAAAAGCATTATCAATTGCTGTGGCGTCAGAGACTGCAAATACAAATGCACAGGAGATACAAAGCCAAGGGGCCACAGCTAAATGCTTCAAAATGGATAAAAAGCCACAGGAGGCTTATGCACACAGAGAACCTACCAAAGAGTGTTACAGATGCAAGGGAACCCAGCATGAAGCAGCAGACTGTACGTTTAAACAAGAGACATGTCATGCATGTGGTAAAATAGGACACATTGCCAGAGCTTGTCGTAGTAGATCTACACAGAATGGAAACAGCAACAAAAATGCAGACCCAAAGAGAGAAAGGAGGCAAACCACATATCACCGTTCTCATAAAGTACAAGAGCAACGGAGCCAAAGTGATAGCTCAGAAGAAGATACATTCTTACTGAATAAGATGAGGTTCAGATTGGGACGCATGAGTGAAGTGCACCTGAGACGAGTAGACCCATACATGGTTGAAGTGAAGCTGGATAGTAAGTTTGTTAACTTTGAGATAGACACTGGCTGTAGTCTCACAATAATGAATGAACAGACATTTCAAAGACTATGGAAAGACACAAAAAGTCCATGTTTGAGACCAACCAAAATCCACATCGAGTCTTATACAGGTGACCCTGTTAATGTGGTCGGAGCTGCCCTTGTTAAAGTGAAATACAAACATCAAAGGCGGTACCTGCCCCTCATTGTGGTTAAAGGGGACGGCCCCAGCCTGCTGGGAAGAGGCTGGCTGGAGGAAATACATCTGAGTTGGAAAGAAATCAAGCTCAGACACAAATCCCGAGTCCTGAAACACCTGAAGACAGAGGACAAATCGCTGCAGCAAGTACTGAGCAAACATGAACATGTCTTCAAAGAGGAGCTTGGCACACTGAAAGGTATGAAAGCTACCATCCATGTAAAGGCTGATGCAGTCCCTCGTTTCTTCCGTCCGAGGTCTCTCCCGTACGCCATGCGCACCAAAGTAGATGAAGAAATAGACAGATTGTTGAAAGAAGGAGTAATCTCACCTGTTAAACATGCAGAATGGGCAGCACCAGTGGTTCCAATACTGAAGCCTGTTGGGATAGTAAGGCTATGTGGAGACTACAAGCTCACTGTAAATACAGTTTCCTCACTTGAACAATACCCCATACCCCGAATGGAAGACCTGTTTGCAGCACTGACAGGAGGAAAACAGTTCACAAAGTTGGACATGAGTCATGCATACCAGCAAATACTCATAGATGATGAATCAAATAAATACTTAACAGTGAATACGCACAGAGGCTTATTCACATACAACAGACTGCCTTTTGGAGTAGCATCAGCCCCAGCTATATTTCAGAGGACAATGGAAGGTCTCCTGCGAGGCATTCCTTTTGTGGCAGTGGATTTAGATGACATCCTGTTGAGCGGTGTGGATGAGGAAGACCATCTGCAGAACCTCGAGACAGTGTTGGCAAAGCTGGAGGAGGCAGGATTGCGTCTGAGAAGGAGCAAGTGCACTTTCCTGGAAGAGGAAGTGGAATATCTGGGACATCGAGTGGACGCACAGGGACTTCACCCTGTGGAAAAGAAAGTCAAAGCCATCATGGAGGCTCCCAACCCCACAAATGTTACTGAACTCAAGTCGTACTTAGGTTTGCTAAATTACTATAACAAATTTCTGCCAAACTTAGCTACACTATTGGCACCACTGCATGAGCTCCTGCGACAAGATGTGCGATGGACATGGCAAAAGAAACAGGAAGAGGCTTTTAAAAAATCAAAGGCCCTGTTAAACTCAGCAGAAGTGTTGGTGCATTACTCTGCTGACCGAGAGTTAATTATGTCATGTGATGCGTCACCTTACGGGGTGGGCGCTGTTTTATCACACGTAATGGACGATGGAACTGAACGTCCTTTGGGGTTCATGTCGCGTACCCTAGCGCCTGCTGAAAATAATTACTCACAGCTAGACAAAGAAGGCTTAGCAGTTATATTTGGAATCAAGAAATTCCACAAGTACTTGTATGGTCGAACTTTCACCATCTATACAGATCACAAGCCACTGATCTCTCTCTTCAACGAAAAGAAACCCATTCCACAGATGGGTTCCCCTAGAGTTCAGAGATGGGCAGTGCACCTGAGTGCCTATGAGTATCACATTGTGTACAAACCAGGAAAGAACAACGCTAATGCGGACACATTAAGCAGACTGCCGCTGTCGGAAGATGTGCGAGAGAGTGAGACCGCAGAACAAGTGCTCATGATTGATCTTCTGGATGACACACTCGTGGACACAGCCAAAATAAAACACTGGACAGCTAAGGATGTAATATTGTCTCAAGTTCATGGTTATGTCCTGTCGGGATGGCCTTCAGTGACTGAGGCTCCTCTCAAGCCGTATCATCAGAGGAGAGAAGAACTGAGTGGGGGGGATGGCTGCGTGCTCTGGGGAGCCAGAGTCATCGTACCAAACAAAGGCAGGGAAAAGATATTGAAAGTACTGCACCAAAAAACATTCCGGCATGTCAAAGATGAAAGGTCTGGCTAGATCTTATGTATGGTGGCCGGGGATGGACCAGGATGTAGAAAAGGAAGTGCAGTCTTGTGAGGAGTGCCAAAAGCACCACAAGTCACCACCATCAGCACCATTACATCCCTGGGAGTGGCCGGAGTCTCCCTGGACGAGAATTCATGTGGACTATGAAGGCCCTTTCCTGGGAGAGATGTTTCTACTGATAGTGGATGCTCACTCAAAATGGATGGATATTTATCCAGTGAAGTCAGCTACATCATAGGTGACCATTGAAAAGCTGCGTCAGAGTTTCAGTGTTTTTGGACTGCCAAAAATGTTGGTGTCAGACAACGGAACCTGTTTTACAAGTGCTGAATTTGAGACTTTCATGAAACAAAATGGCATCCGCCATGTGAGGTCAGCACCGTTTCACCCGTCTTCAAATGGGCTGGCAGAGAGGGCGGTCCAAACCTTCAAAGGGGGGATGAAAAAGATGAAAGGTGAAACATTGCAAACTAGACTGTCAAGGTTTCTGTTCAGTTACCGCATCACACCTCACGCGACCACAGGCCTGTCGCCTGCAGAGTTGATGATGTCAAGGAGACTCAGATCTGCATTAGACCTGCTCCTGCCAGATGTGAAAACAAGAGTGCAGCAAAAACAACTAAAAACAGAAACAGTCCCATGACACAAACAGGAAACTGAGAAGTTTCTCACCTGGGGATAAAGTGTTCATCAGAAACTACTCTTATGGACCTAAATGGATCGCTGCGGTCATCGAGAGCTCATCAGGTCCAGTGTCATATACAGTGATCATTGGAAGTGGTCAAGTCGTGAAGCGGCATGTGGATCAAGTAAGAGCCAGATTAACAGACACCGTGCCCTTAGAGCCGGTGCTGGACTCCAACAGAGACACCGTGGTTCCAGTGACAATCGAGCAAGAAGGACCTCCTGCAAGTGAGCCAGTGGTTCTGTGTACTCCGGTCCCGCCGGACTTGCCTGCTACACCCGTGGTGAGACGATCAGAGCGCGAGAGACAGCCACCTGTATACCTGAAAGACTTTGTTAAATAGATCAAGAGATGTTCCATTAATAGAGCAGCATAGTTCTCTGATCTCACTTTAAGGAAAGGTTTAGAATGTTAATCTTTGAAAGTGAAATGGTTTATGCCAGTACCTCGAAATGTTGTGTAACGGGAGTATGTTATACCCCCACCTTCGGGAAGTATTGTTAGCTTAAAGGGGGGGAAATGTGGTATCTTACCTTGTGTTATTATTACATGTTATTGCATTTGTCCAGCAGGGGGCAAACTCACTCTTGGTATTAAAAGAGCCTGTTGTACATGTTCCCATGAGGAAGTCCCGGAAGCATGTTACCAAAGTAAAACCAGTTAAATCTACTCCTATGTTGTGGACATACAATTATTGATCACAAGATACAACACTAACCCTAACAAACGACATCTCGCTAAGTGGTCCTACGACGCTGGTTATCAACTCAGTAAATCAACCAGGGTTTCACAAACATGGACATGCGTACTGACAGCGCAGCGTCATACTTCATGATTGAATAGTAAACTATCATGTTAGACAAATATGAAGACGTTCAACTTTTAACATCCATGACTTAAACACTTTATCCAGGATAAAAGCCACACAGTTGCACCTGCAAGGTGAATACAGAACAGCTGGTAAAAAAAAAACTACCAAGTGTTTGAATGCGTTCATTAACAGTTTTATGATATCACTGCCTGTCTACTCACAGACTCTCTTCAGGTCTACTCACAGACTCTCTTCAGGTGAGAAGGAAACTCTGCTCATTTCTTCCTCTTCAGTCCTGAGTCTGCCTGCATCTGATCTGAGGACGCCTTCACACCCTCAGAAATCCAGAGAGTAAAAACACGTCAGAGTCACGTGGAAACCGGCTTTACAGGTTGTAGCTGTCAGCCTGCCAGACTCTCCCTCACCTCCCTGATTCAGACTATTAAGTTAGATAAAAACAGTCACGACTTGTTAGAGCGGGTTCTGACCAAGCGGCAAACTCTGGGGAAGAGCCGGGACGCCAATACGGAAGTGCCACAAACTGCAGTTCATATATTGGCCGATAGGCGATGACTGCAGAAAGGAGCAATTTCCATAGACCCCAATGTTAAAATGCCCATTTTCACAGCAGAAAAAAAACGTTTCTAGCCCTGGCTCCAATACATTTTATTATGTATATAGTTAGATTCCACCTTCGTGATTATGAATCTGTGAGTGAATTGTTTTCTAACGCGACCCTTTTATTTATATTAGGTCTGAAAGTTTTTGCATAAATTAGGGCGTGGTCACATTGAGTGACAGCTCTGTCAGGTGACTGCTGCTGTTAGCTTTTTGTCTCTCTGCTAGCTGCTCCGTCCGTGAAGCTACAGGGACACTGCCTGCCCAGTTCATCCAGGGAACACAACTTGATCCCGGCCGTGTTTGTTTGTTCTTCATGCTTATATATCGGACTATTGTGACTCGCTCTGCGGTTAAAACAGACGGTGCATGAATGCCGTTTTGCGGTAAGTGAAATTCGAGTACTATATTTATGTGTTTATGATACGTAATGAATGTTAAGGCTTGGGTTTGCGTGTAAGCGAGTGGTAGCTATGCTCAAGTATGTAGACAAGCTAACGTCGACGTAGTGTATGTGAAATCAACCTCACAATAAGATGTGTGTATATTACAATTATTAATGTCATATTTTCAAGATGATTACTTTAGATATTACAATATGGTTGGTTGAGCTGGAGTTCATTATTGAGTTTACACGTTAACGTCACAGTCATCTGAAGAACGAACCCAAACGTTGTTGTTTTTATTAATTGCATTACCAAATTGGTATCAAATAAACAGTAACACAACAGCATTGGTAACACAACTTCCAAAGTTACAGTAAAATAAAAAGAACCCTGACTCGGACAATACACAATCCAACATGTTCAACAGAAGAGAATAAGTTATATTGTTTGTACACATGGTTCTTTACATATATATCTGTTTGTTTAAAGTTTCCAGGTGATGCAGACAGGATGGACCAGAGAGTGAGAGACAGAACTGGACTCCTCACAGCAGTGAACTTCAGCACAAGTACAAATACTCTTTTTTCATACTGTACAAAGAATCAAGAAAGATATTGGTTTAAATAAATGAAGTATTGACTTTAATACACTGATATACATTCCATTAAACAATACTAAATACTAGATCACCTACACATCAGTGAAGTTGAGGGTTTTTTCCATGCAAAGGGTTACATTTAGATGTTAACAAGCAAGTCAGCTTTCTAATTTAAGGTATTGAAGGCAAAGCTATTAGTGAGAACTGCTACTATTTATCTCTCAATATTGTCTGTAAAAAACGTGGTAAAAGTTATGATTTCAGTGAGAGAACAGAGCAAGCTTCTACAGTTGCACTAAGTTTTGATAACAGTTCAATATTATTTTGATAATAAAATATATTTCAATGTTGATGAATTTCATACTGTTCATTCATAATCTGATTGTCTTTGTAGCTCACTGTTGAAATAAAATAAAACATTACAATTACAAAATAATTATATCTACAGCCCCTAAACACAAGCACACCTCTTTCATAAATAACACACTTGTTCTGCAATAATATGTTTTATGTTTCCTGTAATTTTTGTTAGGAAAGGACATGCCTGAAAGACACGACTCAACATGTTCTCCTTCTCTGAGGGTCAAGAAGAACATCCAAGAGGAAAATTAAAAGCTGATGTTATGAGATTTTAAGACCAGTACAGGACATTCACTAAGAAACTACTTTTATTGTGAAGTCAGCTGATCGAATGCACCTATTTCCACATCTACACTCCATCAGCTGATTAATTCTATTTGCCTCACTTTATGAGCTTCACAACATGTACCTTGTACCGCAGAGTTTGCAACGCAAATAAATGGGGCCAATCTTCAGTCGGATGTGAATGTGTAATCTAACATTTTCAGTAAGAATAATGGACAAAAGGAGTGCAAATACAAATTCAATGTATTGAAATCTGAACCAAAAGTTAATCAAACATGTTTTAAATAAAAAAGCACATATGGACAGAAGGTGTAAACCTATTAAATGTATAAGTAAACACATTTAGTCAAATAAAGTGACAGACAAGGCCTGATCAGGTGGTATCAGCTATGCATGGGCTCCTCCATCAGGTCTGATCCTCCTCACAGAGGAAAGACCCTCAGTCCTCTCCAAACCAACAGACTGGACGTCCATCACACGGAGGTTTCTCCCTGAAGTCTCTGCAGCTCTCTGGACACCACGCTGTCTCAATCCGTCCACACTGAATATGAGAGGGGAAAATGAAAATAATAAATGCTTTAGACAATAAGAAATATAAAGTTGACTGTTGAGTTGCTCAGTTTTTTTAGATTGTCAATACTATTACTGTATAACTAATATCCCAGGTTAAGAGGCACCTTCAAATAAAGATTGGTCTTTAAATACATTTTGTCTTTTGTATTGTTTGTCTAAAGTCAAGGATCTAGAACTGGTACTTATAGTTTTAATGATACAGTCTGGTTATAATGCGGTTTGGAGGAGGCCTCACAGGTAAGAGCACTAACTAGCTACCATCACATGCACCTTAGCTTAACTTAAATGTATTAAACGTATAATTAAGTGATAGCAAAATATAAATAACTAATGTCATGCAAACATATTAATATTTGCTTGATTCCAGTGTTGCATTTAGCACATTGCATACAAACGTTAAGGGATTTTAAGTATTATGCTAAAAACTCAATAACTTAGATTATTATTTATAGTTTTGCTGAATAGTTTCATGTCCGCTTACCTTAGAAACGTAAAATGTGACGGCAGTGTGCTGATGGGGAAGCATGTTAGCTTAGCTTCTTAGCTTGAGCTAGCTCTGTTACTTCCCAGATGGAGGCAGAAGGTCCCGCCTCGGCTCCGCCTCTTTGCCCTTATTTGGAGCAGGCGGGAGTTAGACTCAGACGTCACTGTTGATTGATTGATTGAAAAGTTTATTAACAGCTTGTATATTGGGTACAGTACAGTACAGCTCAAAACATACAATTGTTAAGGGGATGCAGACCAGAGAAAGACTTTCGTCTTGTTTACATCAGGGTCCCCCATTTCCAATTCATCATATCATTTAAGACATATAAGACATATTTGACATACAGATGGCTTATTTACAATTTACATACAGGTGGTTTTTTACATACAGATGGTTTATTTACAATTTTCATTTTAGATTTCGTTCTAATACATCCTAACCGGACATTTAAGACATACCAAGTCTACAGATATACAGTTAGTAACAGAGTCTAAAATGCGAGTATATACATAGATGGGGGGGGGAAGCTGTCCATTGTACGACAGGTTGAGATTTGTACTGTCGAGCCGTTAGTGGCCGACTCCGCCTACTAAGGGCTTCTCGGCAACTCTGCAGAATCCTATGGGTGACGTCACGGACCCTACGTCCATTTATATATACAGTCTATGGTTCTGACATGCCCTGCATTTTTCTCTGATGACGAGAACTCAGAGAACAATCAGACTGCAAATCAGCGACGTGCAGTCAGTGGAGGCAGAGCCTCACCTGTCATACTCCAATGTAACGGAAAAACAACTAAAGAAAAACGAAATAGTAATAATAATAAAATGTCTCCACTGATCTGTGTTGTAAGTGTGATTTATGTATGATTCTAATCGCTATAGTCAAAATCAGCAAATTTGCCGAGCTCCGCTACGGGAGCGATGACAAGTGAGGCAGGGACCTGCTCTGCCTCTCGTAAGCCCACAGTAACTTGCTGGAGCACGGGCACTAATTTAGCGCGGGCACTTATTTTGTGAGCGCGCTCAAGCCAGTTACTGTGGGGTAGGTGAGGCACAGATGAGATCTGCCTCACCTCAGAATGCGTCACCCCACAGAAACTGGCTGAAAAGTGAGCCCTAAGCGCATGCCTGTTACCATCTCACTGTAGGTCACCAATGTAATGTATGTAGATCCCTTTATCACATTTATCTTCGCCATCCATAGTCTCTAAATAACTTATTTCACGTATATATGATATTTAGGCTCGCTGGTCTCAACGGCAATGAAAATGCACCAGGGGAGGCAGCCATAACCTCTGCCGCACTGAAGGGGGCGCAGGTGAGCCCACAGGTTCTTGTTGCTACTGTTATTCTACGCAGAGATGGTAGACGTAACAACAAACTAGACTTTTGAAACTACAGGAAGATAAGGAGGACTTTTACAAAACAGTAATAGAGATTGTTGTCCAGAAGGATAGCATGGACTTCATCTTCAAGTCAAGGTAAGACCACATTTCTAATGAAAATGGGATCTTACTAAGAAAGAACAATCCAATATTTAGATTTTGGGTATCCTTTTGTTGAACGGTCTGTTTAAAATGAATCGAAGCATCAGACTAAAAAAGCTTTTGAAAATAACCGAATATTTCGATTAAGGTCAAAATATAATATTTGTAAATCTGACTCAGTGAGTCAGTGCCTCACCAGCCATGAACCTCACCGCACGTCACCGCTGCAAATCATTCTACCTGAAACACTGACAACAGTACATGGAGATCTTTCTAAAACCATTCTGCTTTCACTCAGGGAGAAACCCTACACAATATTTCAGACAGATGTTCAAACAGACCCTGGATATGTTTGAGTTATCTTAACTAACCCTAACAAACGACATCTCGCTAAGTGGTCCTACGACGCTGGTTATCAACTCAGTAAATCAACCAGGGTTTCACAAACATGGACATGCGTACTGACAGCGCAGCGTCATACTTCATGATTGAATAGTAAACTATCATGTTAGACAAATATGAAGACGTTCAACTTTTAACATCCATGACTTAAACACTTTATCCAGGATAAAAGCCACACAGTTGCACCTGCAAGGTGAATACAGAACAGCTGGTAAAAAAAAAACTACCAAGTGTTTGAATGCGTTCATTAACAGTTTTATGATATCACTGCCTGTCTACTCACAGACTCTCTTCAGGTGAGAAGGAAACTCTGCTCATTTCTTCCTCTTCAGTCCTGAGTCTGCCTGCATCTGATCTGAGGACGCCTTCACACCCTCAGAAATCCAGAGAGTAAAAACACGTCAGAGTCACGTGGAAACCGGCCTTACAGGTTGTAGCTGTCAGCCTGCCAGACCTCACCTCCCTGATTCAGACTATTAAGCAGTGGCGGCCGGCCCATAGGGGCGCTAGGGGCGCCGCCCCCCCCTCTTCCCACATTAAAAATTAAAATAAAAAATATATATATTTAAAAAATATATATTTTATTTTTATTTTTAATAAACAAGGTAAATATTATATAATTGGTATCAGTAAAATGTATAATCTACAATAAAATCTCGTTTAAAATTGTGTTACGATGTCTAAAGTTACTGATAAGTCGCATGTTTCCTGCCTGGCCTTGCCCGTGTATCATTACCCTCTCTCGTCTGGGCGCTATGCACAGCGCCCAGACGAGAGTGCAGCAAGTGCAGCAGAAGCCAACTGTTGCTATCTTTAAACTATGCCGCCGAAACATAATTTCAGCCAATCAGCGTCGTCAAATCTGATGGTCACAGGGCGCCTACGTCAGCGCCCGGTGCAGTCTGTGAGTTGTTTGGACTCGTATCCAAGGAGACAAAACAAGAAGCTGTCATACACTCTGGAAGCTATCATTAGCAGCTAATGAAAACTCAGTTTTTGACTGAAAAAATTATTGATGATCCATAATTCCATTTTTCAAAGTGACAGACACATTGGATTAACCTATGGATTAACCTTCAGCCGCGTTTTTCTCGTTTTTGATTAGAATAACAGCAAAAGGTGAGCATATCTCCATGTTTTAGTACCTAAAGCTACGTTGTGTGATGTCTGTATTTGCTTCCCCTGTCGCAAGTTCTGATCGTTCAGTGATGATACTTATATTTCTAGAATCTGTGGAATCTCAGCTTGTAAGCTTGTTTGTGCATATCCGATAAGTATATCGAATGGCCACAAAAAGCGTGACCACATCACCCCAATTCTGGCCTCACTGGCTTCCAGTTCGGTTCAGAATTGATTTAAAAATCCTTTTATTTGTTTTTAAAGCACTAAATGGGCTGGCTCCAGCCTATATAGCTGAACTCCTCCAGCGCTACACCCCAGCCAGAGCTTTAAGGTCTGCTGACCAGCTGCTGCTGGTAGTGCCCAAGACCAGGCTCAAAACCCGAGGGCACCGAGCCTTCACAGCAGCTGGCCCTAGGCTCTGGAACACTCTGCCCCTCCATGTGAGGTCGGCCCAGACCCTAGGGGTTTTTAAATCAAAACTAAAAACACACTTCTTCTCTCTGGCCTTCTAGTTAGAGCGAAGCACGACTCCTGACTTTTCCTTGTGTTTTTTTTTTATTTTTTATATATATCTGTTGTAATTTATTGTCTTTTATTGTGATTGTAGTAATGTGTTTTTATTACATGTACAGCACTTTGGCTCGACCAAAAATCGCTTTTAAATGTGCTATATAAATAAAACTTGATTTGATGTGATTTGATTTGATTGATTTATACCTAGAGTGCATTAGCATTTTTTCGCTCAGGGCTCATTTAGACGCTTCTTGTAAGACTTGTGTTTTGTTTCGGTAAACATGATTCATATCATCAGTTAGCTGCGTTTCTTCCCGTTAAATGAGTAGGACACATGAATAGTTTATTACATTTTAAGAAGCCCTGAGACACAATTTCGTGAGAAAAAAAACGGGGGGGAAAAAGCCCCTTAACAGGTTAAATGGGAATTAAAAAAATTAAAGTAATTTTGAGTGTTCCCAAAGCCCCGGTGTTCTGCAGTTTGTGTGGGCCTACTGTACTGTTACACAGTTTATGCTGTAGAAACTATGTCCAGGACAAGGTGTTTGGAAGTTTTGGAAGATTCATAGCTAACCACACTGAAGATTATGGAGGTATTGATCAGTCTTCTCATATTTTTAAGCCTCAATTTGTCCTCCCCCCCCCCCCCTCTAACATCACCAGAAGTCATAATTTAAGGGGTCTTTTCTCAAAAAATGTTTACCGCCCTAGTATTGTTTGGTCACCATTTCCACAGCCCAAACTAAAAATATTTTCCACCAGCCGCCACTGAAGACAACTAATTATTATAAAACAAAATATATATATTTAGTTTTACATTGTAATGCAAAACACCCTGTTCCTTTCATTCAGTGCTTTAAAAATACATTTTGTAGTTTCCTTTCATTAAAAATCTTTGAAGTAAGCTTGGGGGACACAAAAGGCACCCGATTCAGAGAATCCCTGACTGTATGTTAGCTTCATGCTAGCTGTTTCCCCCCATTTACAGTGTTTGTGCTAAGCTAACTGGCTGCTAAATGCTTCATCGTTATCGTACAAACACGGGGAGTATCATTCTCATACAACTCTCAACAAGAAAGACAATGAGAAGTTTCTAAAATCTGTCAAACTATTCCCGAGCAGCTCAACCTTCATCTTCACATTTGTTGTTTCCTAGAAAATACATGTTCTGAGCTTCAAAGAGTCTGTTTGGTTTTCTCTTGTCACACCCCGGCTTCACAGGAAATAACGAGGTAGAGGCTAACACATTGTTTTATTTATATCACATGGGAGGCATGTACAGTCACACACATCAGTTTCAGTATCGCTTCACACACACACACACACACTCACAGTGAATCGTACAGATCCCGGGGAACAGCACACACTCGTGATCCAAACTAAATTGTCCCTTTATGTTCCACATTTGTCTCGTTTTCAAGCAGAAAAGTCTGCATATCCATTACTGCCTCTGCCACTGCCTCCACTTCTATGGAGATAAATGAATCACACACACATAAGAACACAGCTTGGAAATCACACAGAAGACTGTGAGTGACAGCTTATCATAAAACAACTCTTTGTTTTTTAATTACAATGAAAAACACATTCATCAATACACAGTAGATAGACACAGGATTATCTCAGAGTTTCACAATAAGAGCGTCCTACTACACACTGCAGGCCCTCTGGGAAACGCACATCTCCAGCGATGTACAGTCACTTCCTCTCCGTTAGATGATTAGATGCATTGTGAAGCTTTCAATGCAAAACCAGGAGGGATGGAAGTGAAAGGAGAGCAATTACACGGGCTTTTGTCAGGTGTTTAACTCGTGGGTTAGGGGAGTGAGGAGAATGATTACAGCCTGCTCTCTCTGCACGACGCCAAGCATTGTTTCCCCCCAAACAAATATTTCCTCAGCAGTAATTATGAAGTACTACATTTAATTAGTGGAAGCAGGCCGGTGTTGGACACAAACGAACCTGTCAGCTCTGTGAGAGTTACACGAGCAGCGGCTTGTTAAACCACAGGCTGAATATTAATCCCTGCATTTTATTAAACATTTAAAATCAAAATAGACAATCAGAGTCTGTCAAAATGTTTGTTTTTGCTCA